GCGGGGGTGGCGGCAGGGGAGGTGACGGTTGGGAAGCTGGGTATGGGGTTGCCACTTTAATTTGTGGGGACAAGGCAGGTGCAAGAGAAGTGAAGGGCCGGCTCACAGACTCCATTTTGGCCTAGAAGAAGGGGGTTGGGGAAAAAAAAAAAAAAAAAAGAGACACATTATGAGAGGTTCTAAATGTGTTTGTCATTGAAAAAGTAAGAGACAAATGACAGCATGCAGAAAACAAAAGCACAGCGATGCAGCCACTTTAATTTGTGGGGACAAGGCAGGTGCAAGAGAAGTGAAGGGCCGGCTCACAGACTCCATTTTGGCCTAGAAGAAGGGGGTTGGGGAAAAAAAAAAAAAAAAAAGAGACACATTATGAGAGGTTCTAAATGTGTTTGTCATTGAAAAAGTAAGAGACAAATGACAGCATGCAGAAAACAAAAGCACAGCGATGCAGCAGAAGGAAATTCTGAACACTGACAAGATGGAGGCATTGGCATGCACTTACTGGGGGGCTGGTAATGGGGTCTCCCAAGGACCGAGTGCTTGGTTTACACAGCTATATGCCTGAAAAGTCTGAAATTTTCTGATGAGATAACAGTTGACAGGGAGGCAGGTGCAACCCCCTCACTGTTGTGGTTGGGTATGTAGCACATACAGAACTGCAGAATCCCAATGATGTTTATGATGTTCATCATTGGGATTCTGGCCGGGTGTAAGGGTTCACCCATGGAGAGTCCCTGGCAGGATTGGAGGCCTTTGGGAGGAAGCCATGCAGAGTAAGAAATACAGCAGATATCTGCTCAGGTCTGGAAGACTGAAGTTGGACTAGGTTGACACAAGGACTTCAAGATTGCCATGGTCTCTACCTGCATCAGGGAATGCCATCATTTTATGTTAGTTCTGGTGATGGTCTTCTTCTGATAATGTTTTGCTACATGGAAACCTGAAAATATTCTGAGAGGAGTGCAGCATGCTGTAAGAACAGGCTCTACACACTGGTACAGCTCTGCAACATGCACTGATGCCCAACAATGCAGGGAGAAAAAGGAAATTTCATGGAAAAATCCTCAAACATTCTGTATAAAATAAAAAAATTGATATACAAAAACTGTATTGATAAAGAACAGCTAGACATGCAACTGAATGTGAACAGAGAGCAGTGATGAAAAGAAATGGGTTGAGAAAGAGAAGTTTGCATTCTACAAACTAGCCAGCCAATTCATTTGATTAGCATTATGGTTAAAGTGGTTTTAATTGTAAATATACATTTCTGCTAAAAACTGAAGAACACAATTATACTCACTCCTAAATTTTTTCTCACCCCCCCCACCCCCTTACAGCCAAGCAGTGTGTTGCATGGTGATTGCAACAGAAAGCCTTCTGAGTAACTCAAATGCCAAAACCAGCTAAGTAGCATGGACAACCACAGTTACTAAACCAGTGGCTCTGAACCTTTTTTTCTTATGACCCCTTTCACATAGCAAACTTCTGAGTGCAACCTCTGCCTTATATACAAACAAGTGGTTTTAATTTAACACCATTATAAATGCTGGTGGCAAAGCAGGGTTTGGGGTGGAGGATGATGGCTCGCAACCCCTTCATATAGTAACCTCACAACCCCCCACCATCCGGGGGAGTCCTGACCCCTAGTTTGAGAACCCTGCACTAAACAGTTTATTAGAACACATTTTGTCAGTGCCACCATATATTACATATGACTGGCTAACTAATATGAAATTTTTGCATATCAATTTGTTACAAGGGCCAATACATGGACAGTACTGTATCAACTCTCCCTTTGACTGGTAGAAAACTGAAATATTAACTTATGCTACTCAATGGAAATAGAATGACTTATAATTACTGTGGCAGGTGCCCTATTTGTCAGATTAGGCTAGTTAGGCAAGGAATCAGACAAAACCCTGGAGCAATTCAGCAGGTTCAAAAGAAAGATGAAGATCTCTTATAAGGGTTAGTCTGCAAGATTCTGATAATATCAATCATCCAGGTTAATGTGCTTTCAAAACAGCCCCTGACCTTAATTCTGCCCTGTTTAAGGCATGCCGGGCACGCAGACCTTAGCTGAGCTGGGCTTCACATTTGATACCTGAGACAGTGAGGCAACAGGAGAAACACAAGGAGCATCAAACTCAAAGAGGGCTCCAGAAACGTAACAAGTACGCACCAGAACATGGCAGGGTTTGCGAAGACTGGGAACTAAAAACTACAGGTGAGGTTGTTCTGTGTGTGACCCACTCTGCCTTGTCACTTAATCATGCTCTGAACTCTCATTTTGGCACAAAGTATCGTTATCCCAGTTGTATTTAAAATTGGAGAGTAGCTCATACACTAAGTACATAAAAACATCAACCTAAATAACAATATCTTTGATATCCTTTACTGTAATTACCTGAGCTAGTTAATAAAATATTCTTAGGTTGATTTAGAAGACTAATTATTCATAAATTCAGAATCATTCATTCGCTCCAACTGTATTGCCAAAGAGCAATCTTTTTTATAAGCAGTTAGATTGCCATATGGATGGATCTGATCACACAGACAAAATACGTAACAGCTCTCCTTGCTCCATTCAATGGTCTAATGCCTTTATGAAAGTTCCCCTTTCTGGGACTCCTCCAAGATAATTTTTTAACCTAAAGGGTTTCTACTATTCACTGTTCCTTTCCGAATCATAATCTCAAACTTGCATTATGATTATTCTTCTGCCTAAGGGCCTCACTCCCTCTGAAGCTCCTCCGGGTTTTGCCTGACTAAAAGATAACTGAGCAATGAAAGTCCTCCTGCAGCAGAGAACTGATAACCTAGGAAAGAGAGATTAAGCACAAGTCTCACAATGATCTTACTGAGGGCTACAACTAGGCTGTCAGACCAAGTTTCCATTTTGAAACTTTTTATCTTGTTTGGTCTCCTTTAAAACCAGCAAACACACCACATGGATGCTACAATAAACCCTCAAAAAGCACTGCTGGAGTCTGCCTACACCAGGAATCTCTGTGATTGTAACAGCCTCTTTATAGCATTGACATTTCAGTGACAATATTCTTCCTTCTGCCCAGTAGACCTTAATTCTTATTATCTCTTTAATTCTTTGAATGATGGTATTGCCAACACCAGAGATGTAGGCAGGACCAAAATTTTGTACTATAATGTTTCAAGCAGTGATTGCTCTATTCGAACTGAATCCTTCAGTTGTAACCTCTTATACTCGGCTTTTTAAAAAGTGTACTTTTGAATTACAACTTAATATACTTTGAGTAAGTGCAAGAGTGAATTCTGGAAATTTTTAGGGCAATCCATTCACCTGTGTGAAGGAGAAAAAAAAAACTTTTGTTAGAAAAGTTGTTCCAGTATTTCTTGCACACAAATAACTCAAATTGCTGAATTAGAAAACTTCAGTCTCTGTACACGGATAACCCCCGAGTAAGGAACAGAACAAAAAATGTGTTTTAAATATTCTTTAAATCCAATGTAGTACAAACTCTCAGCTGAGCATTGCAACTGGCAATGAGAAGTTGTAAAAAGACAGCATCACAAGTCCACAGGATTGAGGCTGTTTAACTCTAAGAAAATTAAATGCAAAAAATTTTAGTGCAACAGCAAGATTCTTCAGGTTTAAAAAAAATAATCAGGAAATGAAAAGTTACAGTGCTCATGGCAACATTATCTTACCCGCATTGCATATACTGTACCAATTCAAATGTTCACTTTTGCACATGCCCAATGCCTGATGCAATTATGCATGTCAGGATCACAAGCATGAACCGACGTTCAGCTTTTATGCACTTCTTAAAGTTTGGTCCACAGCATGCTGCATTTGTTATTAAACTATGTACTGAATTATCAGATTTCGACCAAAACAAAAATCCCCCCATCCAAGATTGTAGATGCTCTGACAAATTATGAAAACAAAAAGTATGTGCAGTGTTGAGTTCATATTGCTAAGAAAATTGTCACTTGTGCGCTGCTTAACTTCTTCATGTTTGAATTCGACAATTTATGTTGCATCAAATTATTTTCTTCATTTAGTTACATATTCTACAACTCTGGCTCTCAACCAGGGATCCAGTGTTCCTAGAGGGCTGTGAGCAGATTTCAGGTGGTCTGCCAAGCAGGGCTGATTTTATACTTGCTGGGGTTGAAGCCTGGGGCCCAAGGGCACATGTAACTGAAGCCAAAGCTTGAACAACTTAGCTTAGTGGAGCCCTGTTTGCTACCCAGCAACACTGGCTTTGGCTCGTTCGTGCAGAAAAACAGTTGCTGCAACAAGTGGACAAGGGAGTTTTTATAGCATGATGGGGGCAGGGGTTGGAGGGAAGGGGACGGAGACCTCAGAAATAGAAGGTTGAGAGCTCTTGTTCAACACCACCATATCCCCACTGGAGAACAAATGAGAGCCCTATGCTTTCTATTTAAAATAACAATGTTATTATCTAAAATTATATTAATATAAAAACATTATCTTTTCTAAAATGAATTCAGTGTCTGTCATAGATGTAGGACAAGAAGCAAGGGACTTAAATGGCAGCAAGGGAGGTTGAAGTTGGACATCAGGAAAAACTTCCTGCCTTCCAGGATGGTTAAACACTGGAATAAAAGTTGCCTAGGGAGGTTGTGGAATCTCCATCTCTGGAGATATTTAAGAGCAAGTTAGACAGACACCTGTCAAGGATGATATAGATGATGCTTGGTCCTTCTGTAAGGGCAGGGGACTAGACTCGATGACCTGCTCTAGTGTTCTATTATTCTATGTAAGATTGTCAGCACTGAAGTAGTCGTAAGCATCTCTCACACTGTCCTGCCAATGTATCTCTACCATCTGCTGACACTGTTAATTTTGATTCAGTGCTTGTTCAGCATTGAGGCATCTTTGCCAAAACTGCCAACAAAGCCATTCATTATTGTAAATTTTGTGGTATGTCCTATTGTTCACAAGGAATAGCATTAATAACTTATTTCATAATGGAGGTGTATTACTTTGGTTATTACTAACCCACAGCGACCTGAGCCAGGTAATAAGGAGTTAAAATTCTTTATACCCAGTTACCAACAACATGAAGTAACTACTCTCCTCTCACTTCTCAGTTACTACTTCTGTTTCATGTTTTTACTACAGCACACTAAAATGCACTGCTTCCATTTTTATAGAACCCAAATAAAAGCACCGAGGGGAAAAAAGGTTCACCTAGCTCCACCTCTCTCAGTTTCTCATAACTTCACAATGGGAGGACGTGATTAGTTTCATACATAAAATTTTTTTCCTGAGGGTATTTCATTCAACATTTTGACAGTCATTGTTTTCGCTTGATCTTTTTCAATGTTACTCAGTAGAATTCTCAAGTCCTAGCTGTCTTATACCTAATAACTGGAGAACCAACTACAAAAAAAGTCAAGTTTCTATGGGCATGTATAAAACCTGAAAGAAAGCTCAAGAGGTGACTCATTAAGCCTGGAGAAAGCTACATTTGAAAACCATTATAAAGCTAGAACAAAAAACAGGACTATGTAGCACTTTTAAAGACTAACAAGATGGTTTATTAGGTGATGAGCTTTCATGGGCCAGACCCACTTCCTCAGATCAAATAGTGGAAGAAAATTGTCACAACCATATATACCAAAGGATACAGTTAAAAAAAAATGAACACATGTGAAAAGGACATATCAAATGTTTTTTCTTTGTGATCCTGCCTAATATCTGTTTTGTGGGCATTGATCCTTTGGCGAAGTGTCTTGAGACGTCTGTCCAATGTACATAGCAGACGGACACTTTCAATGGTATCCGCAGATTCACTCTGCTGATACCATTATTGGACCTAACCGAGTGAGTTATAAGATCAAGAACACATATTCCTGTGCATCCAGAAATATAATTTATGCTATCATGTGCTGAAAGTGTCCGTCTGCTATGTACATTGGACAAACGTCTCAGACCAAAGGATCGCCAAAGGATCAATGCCCACAAAATAGATATTAGACAGGATCACAAATCAAAAACAGTTTCTTGCCATTTCAACCAGAAAGGAAATTGTCTCAATGACTTGATTACCTGCATCCTGCTTCAAAGACCTTTTCAGACCACACTTCAAAGAGAATCCTCTGAACTGTCATTCATGCTTAAATTCGACACTTTACGCTTAGGGTTAAACAAAGACATGAATTATCTTACCCATTACAAAGATAGCTTCTCCAATTATCACCTCTAATATCATTAGCTCACAGACATTTACCTTCCCTCCCTCCCCCCATCTCCCTTCTGTTCTGAAATTTTATTTGTCCTTTTCATATGTGTTAATTTTTTTTTTAATTGTATCCTTTGGTATATATGGTTGTGACAATTTTCTTCCACTATTTGATCTGAGGAAGTGGGTCTGGCCCACAAAAGCTCATCACCACCTAATAAACCATCTTGTTAGTCTTTAAAGTGCTACATAGTCCTGTTTTTTGTTCCAGCTACACCAGACTAACACGGCTACATTTCTATCTCTATTATAAAGCTACATATTGAAAAGGTGGAGTAACAAAAGAAGAGGATCTCAGTAAAGACACAGATGCAGAAGAGATGTCACTTTGTTTCGTACATTTTGTGGGGGTGCTGATTTTCATGCTAAAGTCTTCTTGTTACCTTGCTGGACTCTTCCAGCTGAGTGCCTCGCTTCCAGGCCTCAGAAAAGATAGAGCTGACAATGCTTTGGGACCGGACATGGCCAGTTGGCTGGGTATCAGAAACGCCACTGTCAGATTGATTTGAGTGATTTGATTGAGACTCTGTTTAAAAAAAAAAATCACACAGAAAAAAAAGTTTGCTTTTATCAAAGTAAGTCGATGCATTTTAATGAGACACTTTTATGAGGGACACGTGCTAAGCAGAGGGGTGACAGGTTAATTTCACACTTGCTAAAATACATTTCCACTAAAATAATTAGCTCATGGTCACACTGAAAAATGGCTGGTGAGAAATACCTCCTCCCAGACAGCGCTCCAAACCCCCCTGACAACATCATCTGCAATCTTGTGAAAACAGCAGCATATCACTCATGTGAAAGCGCCCCTCCTCCCCGGCCTTACAGAAGTTTCAGCTCATGTTGCCTGGCCCAAGAATGCTATGGTATCACAAGAGTTATACCTTAGATATCTTTGCGATGCCCTGTTCATGCAAAGTGTAACAGAGCTACAAATAAATTGTTTTCAGTAGCGCTATGCTTGACTACCCATTACAGGCACAAACCCATTCAGTACTAATTAGCTGTGAACAATGAGGTGAAGGGACAAACTGCTCATCAATTTTTGATCAATTATTTGTCTTAAAAATAGGCTTGTCACAGGACTGGAATCAGTGTTCTTAAAAGTGTGTGTGTAAACGGATTTGTGGAATTTCACCTCTGAGTAGAGATTATTTTTCATGTGTTTATTTCACATATTTTAACCCACTAAAGAAGTTTAAAAACTGTACACATCTCCAGTCATCACTGAAACACCAGCCAGGGATGTAATTTTGGAAATTGGAAAGAACAGGTACAAGGCATTTAAAAGGATGCTTCCTTTTTTTGGTTTTAGATAAATTCCCTTTTGGTCTGAATGAGAACACTATGTTCTATTACTACCCATCACCACTTCTAAAGAACAGAACAGAATAAACTGCTTTTTGAGAGTAAACTCAACTATTGGAACTATGTGGAAATAATCAGTCACATGTATTAGTCTTTGCTGGAGTTTTTAAATTATTTTAGAAATAAATAGTATTAACAATATTTATAGGTCAGGCTATTGTCATTACCTGGTAAACTGGAAGAGCTGGAGCCTGACTTTATACTTGAGCTGGACAGGGAAGTCCAGTCATATGCTGACTCGGTCCTTTTCAGCGCTTCCTGATAGTTCACATACAGTTGCTTCCCATACTACATAACAACATGCAACAACTGGTTAGATTGTGCTCTTTTCAGCTTCTTGACTTTGCCCCAAGTTGCTTTTGCCCTGTTTCTTTCAGTCATGACAAGCAGCAGGCTCTCTGCAGAGGAACTTGGGCACTTTGATTATTTTCAATTGAAGTTTTGTTTTTCATTTTGTTTAAGAAGAGTGGTATTGTCTTCTCTCCCTTTTATGATCTAATTACTTACATTATCTATTTCTCTTGGAGAAGAAATGTCAAATATCTGGTAACAGGCAAGAAAAGTGAAATAATATCATCTACTTAATCTACTGAGCCAACCAGCTGGTTTTAAGTAATCATTACTTCAACTGCTACATCTCTGCTTTCGATATAGCCACCTTTCTCAAATCCATTTAGGAGTTAGCCCAAAATGAGCCAGCATGGCTAAAAACTCACAGTGATGTCTCATAGTGAATGGGAGTTCACTGTGGGATCAAACAGCAAGAAAGGAGTGATTTGTATAAGCACCTTAAGCAGCAAATTGATTAAGAAGTGTATATACTGTTGATAAACTTTAAAAAGTAATATGTACAAAAACTACCGTAAGACTTTTGTGTTGCTAAATATAGTGACATTTATAAAAAGATAATAGGAACAGTTTCAATAACTGTTTCAAACAAGTAACGTTTGACCCATAGCTGATTAACGTCTGGATTAGTTAATTTTATGTCTTCTCGTTCCTCCTCACTGACATCATTTGCCTCAGTCAAATAATATACAGGTAACACACTATTAAACAACACTATATTGCAAGGATGAATCCTTGTATTCCTCTTCCAAAGTAGTTACCTTAGCAATACGGATGCCATTTATCCACTGGTGTAAAGTTCTCACATCATCACAGCAGAGATATTTAATATATTGAGACTTCTTCTGGATTTGAGGGTGCTAACAAAAGAATATTTAATCTATTAATATTTTATTCAAGAGATTATTAAGAAGAAAAAGAATTAAAATGTGTTATTCTTGAAGAAGGGGCTTGTTCAACATACTGTTAGTCAATCCTGACATCATTACTTTCAAATCCAGTGGAAAATTAAAGCAGGAAATGCTAGAAAAACATTCATTTGTCAAGGTTCTAATCAGGACTTCTTACCTGTTGAAACTGAAATAACTGATGTGTCATTAAAGACAGGATATATTAGGGATTAGTAGGTTGCGGTGTTCCAGAAAAAAGAAAGATTACTTTGCATCCAAAGTGGCACCATGGGGACTATCTAACTAGCACCTACTGCAGGTTTGCAATGTCATAAAAAGGGCTTCTTACAGTATTTTGCTGTAGGAGCTCTTCTGCCCCTTGCAATCTTTGAAAGTGGTCATGCACTGAATTCAACTGGTCAGAAAATTCCCTCTTTCTAGAAGCTGCGGGAAGAGAAGATGCCTCTCTCTTATGTGGTCGAAGAAAAAGGGTTAGTCTGTCATCTGACCTCTACCAACACCTGCATCACTGAAGGAGAAGGGAGGAAGAAAACTAATAATGCCACCTTCCTATATAAACCCAAACTTCTTTTTTCTACCTCTAACTATTAATAGGGTGGGAAATAATTTTTAAAAGGGGGCCACTTCAGAAATTTCAAATGGCCTGGGGTGGGGGAGTGCAAGAAGTCTTCCCCTTCCCTCTCCCAGCCCCTAGAGAGAAACACCAGCTGTTTTAAAATAGCTAGCAGTTCCCTCTATGCACCTAGCGGGAGGAGACCTCACATGCACCCCCTGCCCCCAAGCCAATCAGGGTCTGGGGGCAGGGGAGTGCGTGAAGTCTCCTTGCTCCTGCAAGAGCATGCAGCGGCTAGAGACACACGCCAGCAGTTTTAAAATTGGCCTGATTGGCTTGGGGTGGGGGAATGGCAGGGCAGCCGC